CAATACTCCCTGCCTCATTCTGACACAATTACATATTGTGATTCATTACAATGATTGCTGAGGGACCTTTCTTTCAGACACCATTATCAGGTAATTAGAAAATTAGTCCAAGTTCAGATTGGACACCATTCCCATGACCACCCTTTGGTCATGATCTTTATTAACTTTCCCCATATGACTCCAGAAGGGGATACGAAGTCCCACTTACTTCAGGCAAAAGAAAGTTCTAAAAGAACCACAGAAACATGAAATAAAAATGGAAGACTCCCCATTCTTCAAGAACAACATCAAGAGCTGCAAAAGCACATTAGATGCTGCATTAACAGATGGCCCAAGTGAGAACATGAAGCTAAAATGGTTTCAAAAGGGTCTTTGCCATTTTCTGCTGGCAATATCTCTAGCCAATTGCAGACTTGCAGTAACTCTAGAAGCACAGAGCAGCCTGCATGTAATATGTGTTTGCATAAGGATCTTCCTATAATTATATATCAGCTGAAGTCTAGTCATTGTAAGATACTATAGGAGATAAAAGTATTTAAAACATGAAGTGTAAAAACACATTACTGTGACCAATTTCTAAAAACCAAAAATAAGTCTGCAATTAGGGGCTCTTTTACATCTTCCCATCTATGTAACACGAACCTTAAGCAGTTCATTGCACTTCACCTACTTACTAATTTTATATAGCTGTGTGTATCATGATCACATTTGTGCTATTCCTTCTTCTTTTTTTCCCCTTTCTTTAATCACTCTGCAGCTGGTAGGGAGATGATACACCTCATTATCTTATTCTGTGGGTCATCTAAAGTGGATATTAAGTAATCCTGACTCCCACAGCTTTGGTACGGAGCCAAATAGAACTGGGAAAAGTAAGAGGTGTGACTTAACAAAGAGGATGATTTTTGTTTTTAGCATAGAAATCAAAGAACCATAGAATGGTCTGGGTTGAAGGGACCTTAAAGATCATCCAGTTTTAACCCCTTGCCATGGGCAGCAACAACTTACATGCTGCTTTGAAGAGTTTTGTCATGGCTAAACAGACACTGCAATCATAACCTCCCAAAACTTCTCCAGGTGGTTCAGTTGGGAGACAAGTTTCACTCCCAGGGCCCAGCACATCATTGGTATGGGCAGAGCCTGTGCACCACTCAACAAGCAACACAGGCTCCTCTGTCTGAATAAGGATTTTGGGCATGGAATTTTGCAATTGTGCTATCATATTTAAATCAAGGCTTACTAAATATTTTCATACATACGTCAAGCTTCTCTACCTACAGTACATTTGAAAGGTTTTCAGTGTCTTCTTTTACCCTAATCCATTTTTATGCTTAAGTCTCCTGGCATTTGCTTTGTGCCACTGCTTTCTAGACACCTTTTATGCAGAAGACGTCAGCTTGGGAATGGTCCCAGCTGGGGTTGGGACTCCTCAGACCCCTGTTGCCTGGTGCTGACCTGTGGCCAGGACAGCAGGGGAGCACAGTGAGGGCATCTCTCAGGCATCCAGCCGTCTGTAACCCAGCTCAGCACGAAGCAGACTGAGTAATAAACTACACAGGCTTAAGTCATAGCCCTTGATGAAATATGACCTTGTGGGGCAAGCCTGTGTACTGTGTGCTCCGTCAGTGAACAAGTGGCCAGTCAATGCTCCTGGAAAGATAATTACCCACCCGTCAAGGCACACAGACATTTTTGTCCAGGAAGCCAAAGGGGCAAACATCTCTACAGACAAGGCGAGCTGGGGTATTTTTAGCCATGGAGCTCTTACTGGGATGGCTGTACTGGGGAATGGTTTCCTCTGGAGAGAGCTGCCAGGAGCTTTATCCCTGCTTTTTGTATTGTTTTCCTTGTAAATCAGCTCTCTCACAGAAAGCATTACCCTAACACGACCAATCCCAGATCCTCAACAAGTCTTACCCAGACAGTCTCCTCATCTATCTGAGCAGCTGAGTAAACTTGAAGAAGTAACTAATGACTCGCATATACATACACAGGAAAATATTTGGGTTTAAAATAAATCCCCGGAATACTGTAACCCTCAGTGCTTTATGTTGCAATGACTTTCAATCCTTAATGAGGTATTTCTGTCACATGAAATTAATGATGCTAGCAAGCAAGCAAACAAACACCACGTCTTGCACACCTAAAGCATTGCATTCCCCGTGTGGGCTCCATTTTGGATAATGCAAAATGCCAACTCTCCTGAGAGGCTTTCTGTTTTGGGAGGAGAACACCAAGTCAATGTGTTGGCAAGCCTATGCAGGCTCTGTGCTGAAACACCCCAAAACCACCTCAGCATCTCACCTCAACCAACCTTCATTAATAAATACTGTTCTGTGGGCACATAAAAATCAGTGGTGTGAAAGAGATGTCCCTATGCAGTGGCAAATGTACTCCTTACTTTGAAATGCCTGCAAGTCCGAAGTGAAATTATGTCTATTTTCTTTCCTAACTCTAAACTTCATTAACTTGATGCCTGCTTGCATAGGGCTAAGCCTGTGAGGCTCATGTTTTTTCTGAAATAGCATTTTCCTGTCCAGTCTATTTCCTATTACAATGACTGGATTGTAGAGCTGAAATGAATGTCAGAATTGTTTGCTGGATACATTACCAGATACCTTCTTTTCTAAGGTCCAGAAAGAGAAATTAGGTTTGCAAGAGAGATCATTTATGGTTTTCTGAATCAAAGGTTTCATATCGTATAAAACATTCCCAGACATTGATTTGCATCATGCATCTTGCTCACTGCATTTACTCCCAAGCTTATTTATACAGGAGAATTTCCACCTCAAATTGCCATGTATTTTTTCTACAGATTTTGAAAATCACATTTAGATAAAATAAAAACATCTGGAAATAGCCCTTTTACAAAAGATTTTGTGAATAGTGCACAGACTTTAGGTCCTTGAGAAGCTCAAGTACCTCTTGCGCCAGTGGAAGTGAGGACGCAGCAGACTGGTGTGGTACCTTGTCTCCAAGGATGGCCAGCAGAAACAAGAGGAAACTGGATAAGTTGAGAAGTGTCTTGCATGGTCAGCATGGTCGGAAGTGGTCAGCATGACAATGGGGATACCAAGCCTCTTCCATTCATTCCTGTTGCTTATGTGGTTCATATCACCATGAAGACCTGGGTGCTGTGATTCCGAGGGAGGTTCAACTCCTCTCTTTGATATTCCCAGCCAGACAGTGAGAAGAATGTCAAATATGCATATATATCTACATACATATAAAATTCTTTGGGCATGGAGAAGGGATATATTATGGCAGTTAGATTAAGCTACCTCCTTCAGTTCTTGAGCATCCTGCAGGACAAACGTCTAATTTCAACATAAAATACTCTTTCACTCCTACTGAGGAAGAGTCTGGCTCTTCCACTCTGCCAGAGGAGTGAGAAAAGCTTTGGGAGTCTCTTCTCCTGGTGGGCTAGGGGTCAGTCCCACACAAGGAGACATCCCTGACCAAGGCAGTGAGCATCGTGCTGTGTGCGCCATGGATACTGAATATCAAATATCTTGTCCCCATATCAAAACCTCTCTCTGTGGCTCTAGGGTAAGACTACAAGCAGGCTTAAATGTATGCAGTAAAGCAGGATTAAATGTATATAGTATTTCTCTATGGTATGTGCAGGGAATAATGCTCCTTAAGGGTACAAACTGCATTTCTCTGAAGTCAAGAAACTAGAGACTAAGAAACCAAAGAGGAGAAATGCTAAGTTCCTGCTGAAATCAAAGGGGATTTTGGCACTGACTTCTGTAGGAAATGTCTCTAGTTGTTGTAGTCAGCTATAACCAGACGAAAGCTTGAAAGATAATCCTTCAGATTCAGTCTAGGAGACTGTGTGTGGGTGCATTTATGGCTATAATTTATCACTCTGTGGTGGAGACCCAGCAGTCCACCAGAGAGAGAAAGGCCCTCCTGTTTAAGACAGGCCACATGCTTTTCTTGGAGAGCAGCAATGGGGATCAGTGAACCCACAGGAGAACAGCTCTACCATGCAGCTGAGCTGCAAAGCTTGGGGAGTGCTCCTTGCAGTCCCTTGCACAAGTTCTACTTAGAGCTGTTGTGGTCCAGCCTTGAGTTTGGTTTCCAGTACAGCATTACTTGCTTGGTTAAAAAGACTTTTTCTGGGGAAGAACCCTGGCAATTTCTTCCTCACAGCCAGCATTGCCTTACCTTAGATGTCCTCTTGAGAGGTATTGAACTAATTGATGAGGTTTTAAAGGTATCTATCTGGAATGCAATATATTTGTTCAATATATCTTCCCTGTGAGCAGAAATTAACATCATTAATCCTACTTTAGAAACCAGGAAGCTAAAACACAAAGAGGCAAAGTAATCTGACAGAGGCAGTCAGAACAGAAAATATAACTAAGTTCCTATGTCCAGCACAGGTCACACAGCTGGACGCTATCTGAGTGGCCAAAGCCCAGCTCACAAACATCCTTCTTCCAAAAGACCTGACCTTACAGCTCAAGCTAGATTAGAAAAATAAAGCATAGATCTCAAAGGCCAAATTCCAGCCTCATTCAAATACACTCAGTTGAGTGTTTGTGCAACAGAGGTTAACACTTGCTATGTTTTTTCTGAGCAATATTTTTTACCATAGGATTTGTGGCATCCAAAGGCTTCTCAAGCAGTTTCAATAATTGTGTTATATTTAACAATACCAAATAAAAACATAGCAGTGGGATCAATATTGTATTCATATTTTATTCCATAAATAAACTCCATTGGTTTGTAAGCTGGTTGTTTTTACTTCCAAAATGTACAAATAAAGATTTAAATATTTTGGGGGGAAACATTACAGATGGTTTTAGTTCTGCAGTTTTGATGCAAACATACTTCTTGGCACCACATTTTAATATGCCATTTCTATAAATACTCAGTGATCATCGAAGTGGAGTAAAATATATATGTCTCAGTGAAAAACACAAAACCCTGTTATAATCAAGTTTTAAAGTATTGCTCTTTAACAGGTAAGCTTGCTGTGTAGATTCACTACATAAACAGGAATAGAGTTCTCCAGAGAGCTAAGATATTGGTCCCTTTTGGTATGTTAAGTATTAATGTGAAACTGCTGCTTCTATGATTATGTGGGAATGCTATTTCAGCTAGTTTCTAAACATAACAAATAATGATTTTCATTTTTCTTTACTTCAAGGATTTAACTCACAGAAAATCAATTAATAGAATATTTCAGTGATATAAGTTGTCCAGATCTTACAACCCCAGTTCTATGGCTACAGAGATGCATCCTTTTTAAAAGATGAAGATAAATAATACCACTGTCATTCAGTATTTGCATTTAAAATTCTTTAAATCATTTCCTCTGGACAAACTGACCAGAAGGTGATGCTTTAAAAGCAGCTGTGCTCCTTTTAGACTGGTTTTGATTACTTGAAAGGTGCCTTAAAATTTCAATTGAAATATAAATGTTCTTTCTTCATATAAAGAGCCAAAGATAAGAACAACACCTCCAGGTAATTGAGATAACAGTGAATTTTATGGCAGTCAAAGGCATTCAAGATCCAATTAGGATGATGAGCAAGAGAATCCTTTGTCACTCCGTGTTTCTTTGAAGGAGCTGGTCCAGTAATTGCTGGGAAAAAAACAATGCAAAACAACCTTCAGATACTGTTAAAACACATGATGTGGATGTAACTGATACTGTAGGTGAGATGGTTTTAACATTCTCAGACTTCAAACCTGCTGCCTACCCCAAACACTGAAAGCTTTTCCTTCTTGGACAGGAAAGGTGTAATTAGATGAACAGAGCACTGAAACAAGACAAAACTGGTACATGTGTGCAATGTGAAGAGGGATTATCTGGGAATGCCTCAGCCCTGCACTGGGATTACCTGTGCTAATGCAGTTTTCTACCGCAGTTAACTAATTACTTGTTTGTAAACCCCCCCCCAAAGTTTAGGATGTTCATTCCAACACAAGGTTCAGCTGCTAATTCCAGTTTAAAGAAGTGCCCAAACCCAAGGACAGGGCTTAAAAACACCCTTTGCTCTCAGGGTGTGCACGTTTAGCACAGGATCCCCCCCAGGAAGACGCTGCCTCTACGGACCCCATTCCTAGGTAGAGAAGGGTTACATAACCTGGCATTCCAGTAAACCCTTACCTTTTTAAAGTTCTCAACACGCAGTTTGTTACTCTGGATGATGATCCGCTTCTGTTTTTCTTCTTGTTTCTTTTTCACTTCAGGTAAATTGTCATAAATCCTGCAATGAATTTAGAAAGTTAACTTCACATGTCAGCCCTGGGACTTGCAAATCATTTGTTTTTCCTATGGGAAACATTTGCCTTCAATGCAATACTTCTCATTAATGGGCACCTCCAAATACTTGAATTAGATTTATACAATATTTTTAATTATAAATTATTAACAGTAATGTTTGTTATATAAAAGCTGACTTGTAGAAAACTACTTCTAATTCTGGACTAAAAATGAAAGAGGTGGGATCAGGTTATCTCAATGCAGCAGCAACATTCTGGAGCAGCTTCTAATGAGCTCAGTGGAGTTGGTTTCAATTTATAGCAACATAATTCAAACCAGAATCTGGCCTGTACACTTTTTTTTTTTATTTAGGTCACAAAATTAATGCCAAACAATTATTTTGACTTATTTTTCTAAAATATAAGAAAACCATTGTTCTATGGCTGTAGACTGTTAACATTTTTTGCTGTCATTAGGAACTCTTTTCATCAAGGAGAACATAATCTGTCCATCTTATAAATAGAGTAAGTTGCCCTCAGAAAGGTGACTTCTGGTCTGATCTTTCTCCATTGAAATCAGTGATAAAATTCCCAGGAGTCTGAAAAGAAGGTCAGACCTTCCTTCGCAGCAGTCCTGTTCTCTGCATGCACACTAAGCCTGTTTAGTTCTGATTTCTACTCATGATATTTTGCAATAGTGAGTTCTTGAAGCAGCCTGTTTTGGCTGGAGATTGTATTTTGGAGAAGAGAAAAGGGACAGATCTTGGGCACTTTTAAAAGCAGAATGAATTCTGCATGGTAGCCATTTGCAGCTTTCCTTGCTGTAGATGATGGCATGAAACGGTGCAGTTAAACACCAGGCAGCAGGCTCCTAATAGTTTGCTGGAATTCCCATGCTCTGTACCATAATCAGGGTGAGTAAAAACCCCACCACTATGACTGTATTGCTTACATTTTTGAATGTCCAATATGGGATGGAACTGGATGATCTCTAAGATCCCTTCCAATCCAAACCATTTGATGGTTTTATGATTCTATGAGGTACCTGTCAGGAGCTTAGCTTTCACACCATGAATACCCCATGTTGTCTGAAACTGCTAGAAAAGGACAGGGATGCCCCAAATCTATCAAACTGATACAGTAGAATAAAACCATGGGCATTGCACATGGCAAGCATGTGTGACAGACCAATCCTTCAGTGTATGAATATGACACGGAAATGCGCTAACTTAGGTGTGAGATGGCAGTGATTCACAACGAACTCAGAACCAAAGTGATTTGTACCTTTTGGATCTCATATGCATCTCCTTCTCAGGAATGAATCTTTCCTTTGGTTTGAAGAGGTTATCTAGAGGGAAAATAAAGTTAACATTGAAGAAATCTATGTTTGCTGAGACTTTATATGTCACTTTTTATGAAGTCATGATATGCTGTCTCTGGTTAAACTTTTGATGGCTTAGGGCTGGATATCCAGATCTCCACAGGTCAATGGAAACACATTTAACAACTTAATCTGGAGTTGAATTGGTTCCCAAAGCTGCCCTGCAGAAAGAGAAGGATGGATAAGACCTGTAGCAACCACCTCCACTGCAGGCTTGTCATTGTCACATACAACTGTGTGAGCCCTTTATTCAGACCATAAACCAGCAATGATCTCTCTTCTATCAAGTAATCTACTTTGTCCACGTTCTCATGTGCACAGTGGCAGTATCCTCAGCTAATGGTTGGACTTGATGATCTTAAAGGTCTTTTCCAACCTAGCTGAGTCTATGATTCTAATGCGTGTGGGGAACTTGACCTGGTGTCATTATTTCTGATTCAATTTACACCTGTTTTGTGGGGCTGTGAATAATTATGCTGAGCTTTGGGAGGAGGAAAATTATATTACTCTTTCCTGATCAGATATGAAGATATCTGAGATAATTCCAATCAGCATTTCCCTGGATACAGGAAAATAATTACTGATCTTAGCAGTCGGTAAGCGTCAGGAATAGGTAATTTTAACACCTTCCTTGCAAAAATGGTTTCTGAATGGGAAGGGATGGTGTTTGTACAAGGCAGGAAGCCAGGAAACATAATCAGAACTGGTTCTTGATGAAGGAGGCTGTGTTTAACCACATTCATCAGGGAGAGGGGGGAGAAGAATATTGCTGCCTGCACAGCTATGTTGTTTAGATGTACACCAGGATGATGAAAGAAAATTCAGACGCATAGAAGAACTGGCTTTACACTGTGGTGCCTGAACACAAGGATGACCAGAGCGTTCTCTACACCCAGCCACATCCATGTGGTTTCTCCAGGATGCTGAGCACAGGGGTATAATCCCCTCTGTAGTCACAGGAATCTGAACATTAAAGGTATCTGCCAGTATCTTTGCAGGACATATGATAAACATACGTGCAAACATTCAAGCACTTCTTTTTTCCAAGGAAGTTTAGAAGACACAATATATATCACAGCAGGCACCGTATCGGCCTCTTGCTGCCATCTCACCGAAGAGACGAAATACAATAATCAAGTCGGAGAAGTAAATACAGAGAATAATTCATCCCAGAACGGGCCCTGAGCAAACCCAGCGACTACTACCCAAAAGAGACCCCTTTCCCACCAAGTTTCCTTCCCTGCTGTTTAACATAGAAAATGTTTCAGGGATGTTTATAGGAGATGTTTCAGCAAGGAAACAGCCCCGAGCAGCTTACAGGGCTACACCCAGAGGCAGAGACATACTCAGATTACTGCATTTCTCAGGAAAACACTATGTGTCCTTTAAGATCACTGTTGTATCTCAATATAGAAATAAAAGGGAGCTTTGCAGCAGTTCCTGTTCTGAACACAAACTGAGAAGGGATGGAAGCCTTCTCTGCCTGAGGACTGACTTTTCTCCACTCAGCAGATGCCTACACTTAATCGTGCTTATTAAATCCTCAGTACACACAAGCAACATGCCCAATTTGCTAGGAAAATATAATTTGTCTTTTATTTATTAGTGGGTTTTTGTTCATTTACATGTTGATTAACTTAAAAGCAATAAACATGTGGATGCTATTGCCTGAATAAGCCCGAAACTTAAGGGAGCAGATTGCCTGTGACCTGGCTGGTCCTAGTGAAGGACTAGGGTCCAGGGCCGTTGATTTTCTGGGGCCAGTGTGGATCCCAGTGCAGTTCAGAGCAGCCTCAGCATAGCCCCTTGCTGCTTGAGGTTGAAAACCTCATTCTAACAGCTCAGGACTGCAGGATGCATCCCTTACCTCAAGGCATGTCCCCTAACCTGGAAAATGACATGGGATCAGTCTGAAATCATACGGAGCCATCCCTATGGGTTCCCTGCAGCACTAAAACAAAAGCAAGAGGCACTTCATGCTGCACAGCAAACCCAGGCATCTTTTTTTGTCTATGTGATCCTCAGTCCGGCAT